ATTTCTGTGTCTCAAGCAGCAAGCAATAATTTGTTCTCTGGATCTTCTGATGACATGGGAGGTACTGTGAAGATGTAATAACGCCAATAGCAACTACGTAAAAACGCAACAAACTGAAATGTGATGTAAAATATATTCAGACTACTTTATACATCTACAATGATCTATTCATAATCATCCTTACATATTGTCCAAATAGAACAAAATTTTTCAGTACAGTAAATAAAATCATGTTACACACAACATCAATCACCCTTAGCCCATGAGTGCTGCTTTTTCAAGGCCTTTTAGTGTAGTTTGAAGTACCGGATGGGTGGAGTTTGTACAGTAACATTGGTGAGGTGAAATCCCTCTGTTTTACCACCAAGTCAGTAAAAGAAGCAAAAGAAGAGTTTGCAGAAATGATGTTAACAAGCTCTCTAGTTAATAAAGTTCTTCAGTCATTGTACTGTTGTGTGATTGACAATATGATATTAACTGAACTGTTCTGATGCTGTAAACTCCACCCATCTGGTGCTCTATGGTAAGCAAATGCAACTCTAAGAGCTGTTCCTGTTTCACTCAAGTAGAATATTTGCTGATTCTTTAACACATTATCTGTCCCTAAAGATAATTAAGTAACAGCTGATTCTGAGGTGTTTGTGCAGACAGACTGTTCTGAGGTCATCATATTATTATCACACTGACACTTGATTATTGCAGACAAAGGGGTATGAAATCAAGCTGATGTTTGTACATTATAAACAACATTTTTATGACTTTTACATCCTGAAAGCAGCAAATTGTCCCTTTAAACAATTACGACTCAAAGTTTAAGTCTGTCAGACTTCATGACAAAGATCTCATCAGTCATTTAAATTACTAATCAGGTTAGCTGACGAAGCAAACCGCTGACATTTGAGGTTGTCCCGAGCCACATGCATGTCCACCTGATATAACAACTATCAAGTCACAACACAGTGATGTATGTGGCGTTTTATCTGCTGGGATGTCAGCTCCAGCACACATAGTTCCTACTAGTCCAGTAAACAGGATGATAAAACGGCTTGAATACTGTGTAGGTATTGCACAGCATAAAAGCAACATCAGATGCATTTTTAGCCAACCTATGAGTGGATTCTTCAGTTTCACAGGATTTTGAAAGTCAGTTATATTCAAGTGAAGTCACATCTTTCGCTCAACTGTCTCCCAACATGATGAAACAAAGACGGAGCGGGAATGAGAGGCAGGAATTTCATATTTGTACATTTTTGGCATTTAAACAGACGCTGTTATCTGGAGCAGCTTACAACAAGCAACTCACAGCGACAGACAGACAGACTCCCAGATTGGAAAGCGTGGGCACCACAGCGTGGGCACCACAGTAAAACAATGGGTACTTTACTTTTATTTTCTGTTTGACGCAGATGATGGCGTTAACTGAGCTGTTGTTAAATGTTGTTTAATTGTTTTTGAGCAAAAAAGGTCTTTAATAGTAATTGCCAGTCCTCAGGTTGGAATAAATAGCCATTATTTCCTTAACCCTAATGTCATTTATGAAGCAGTGACTCCCAGAATAACGAGTCAGACAGACACAAACAAGCAGAGAGACATAACACATCTTTTGAATGGAAACTGAAGGATGGTTCAGCCCAACCATTAACGTCGGTAATCACACATGACGCCCCCACAAGCGCGGAAAGAGCACTGCAGCTGACAGGCCGTCAATCTCCAAATCCCAGCTGAAGTCATCCTGTAAGAGGATCAGATCTTCTATATATACACTCACCACAGGTAGCCTCCCTGAACAGAGAGCTAAGCAGATTACTGATAAATGATACAGTGAACACACAGCTCATCTGTGTTTCAGGGAGTCAGGGAAAACACCTGGAAGGAAACAGTGTAAGAAAATAGAAAATATGGGCCTAGTAACATTCAGGGTCCTTGCGCCTTTTGTAATGCAAGGAATTATCACTATTCATGCAAATGAATTGCATTTTGACGGGCTAATGGTGCTTGATAGCTCATGAAACTTTGCACAGCATCAGAACTGGTGAGAGACGTGATATTTTAAAGGTTTCGTGCTCAGGTGTGACAAAATGACTCATTAGCACCTCCTACAAAATTTCAACAAATTAGCCCCAGCGGTGCATTTCACCTATGAACGGAAATTGGGCGTCACATTTAACATCCCAACACTTAAGAAAAAAAAGGGCAATACCCTAAACTCAACAGGAAGTCAGACATTTTGATTTAAGTGTTATTTGCCATTTTCATGGGTGATACTTCAACAAACTCCTCCTAGAGATTTAACTTTATCAACTTAAGTTTGGTCTTTGCCATTCAAAGACCACCAAGATAAAGAATGTTAAAAGCTTGAGTTTTCATCAAACAGTGTGGCCGTGGCAAGTTATCAAATTTCCATGTTTTGCTACAAAACAGTGCTTTGCAACTTGACTGTGCATGGTCAAATTTGATTTGGTTATCGGCCTGATAATGTCTACATGCCAATTTTTACATATAGTGCCACCTACTGGCAACAGGAAATGACACATTTTATATTGAATGTACTCCTAGCAAGGTGACCAGATTCACCTCAAACTTGTTTTAAAAAGCCTCAAGGTCTTGATGTTGCTTTATTGTAAAGATGGTGAGTTTTCGTTGAACAGCGTTGTAGTGGCGGTGCAGTAAAATTCAATGTTTCAACATGCCACAGGAAGCTGTTGCAACTTGACATGATATAGTCCCATCCAGCCCAATCTGCTTTTAGTCAGTCCTATGACATGTTAGGACACATTAATTAGAATATGCATGGCTGTCTATGAATGGGAATATGAGTGAAAGAATCATTTTCTTTAGCAATGTAAACAGCTTAGAAGGAACATACTTAGTTTCTTTTCTAAATAAGGGCAAAACCCGGAATATTTTTGTGCATGTAAATGTAGACACCATTGTAGAAACACAGGATAACACAAATATTCCCAGATCAGGGGATGTGCGTCATGCCAGGAGAAAGTAGTTCACAGGAATCTTATCATACCTGTAAAGTACCTGCCTATTCCAACTTAGTCTGAAGATGGTTCCTGTGTCAGTGACCTGGCCAGTAGAACTACCGACGATTCACTGCTGGATGAGGATGCTACGGGGTCTGTTACACCACCTAACTGTGAACATGTTTGTGTGTGTGACAGGAAACCTTTGAGGTACTGGATGAATAGTTTGTCTTCCTGGAGCCAGTGATGCAGGATGGGATGGGAGCAGGAAGTGAGTCACTAAAAGGATCGTAGCTCACCAGGAAACAGGCCGAGTGCTGCTGGGGTGGCGATCCAGATCCACGGAGGCTGAGCCAAGAGTCGTCAATTGCTGGAGGCCTGACGACAGAAAAGGAACAATATCCGAAAACAGCAACATGCCTGCTTGTGAAAAATGGAGAGATTTGGGATTCTGATTTGACAGGAGAACCACACAAACGACATAACAACAGAACAACAGAATGAAAATTTAAATAGTCACAGGAAAGAAAGGTCAGTTAAGTGACGATGGCGTCAGCCTGCCTGAATAAGTCCTGTTATACTAAACTCCACCCGTCTGGTTCTTTAAGTAGCTTAAAATAAGCAGTGTTGCATTCAGAAAACACAGGAAAATGAGTGCTACACAATCCCATTGAAAGTTGACAGGGGAACAAAATTAAACAAAAGGGCTTTTACATGGCTTGCTATGATGACAGACACAACAGCTTTTACATCTTTAACTGCTTCTACTGTCAAGAGTGTAAATAAAAACCGTATAAGTCTACAGCCATTAAGAGGCTGTTAACACTTGTTACACACCAGAACAGAAAATTGTCTTATGGATAAAAGATGTAAATGTACTACTCAAGGGTGCTGGAAAGGAGGCTCTAACAGACTGTTTAACCTCTGATTCAGGAGGAACAATGTGGATTCTGTCCTTGCCCTGGAACAGTGGACCAGCTCTTCACCCTTGCAGGGCTACTGGAGGGATCGTGGGAGTTTCCCCGTGCAGTCTACATGTGCTTTGTGGGCTTGGAGAAAGCTTACTACTTACTACAGTGCTGTGGGGGTTACTGAGGGAATACAAGGTACCAGAGTTGTTGCTACGAGCCATCCTTTGCTTGTTTAACAGAAGTGAGAGCTGTGTCCACATACTCGGCACAAAGTCAAACACGTTTTCAGTGGGTGCTGGCCTCCGCCAAGGCTCCTTGTCACAGATTCTGTTTGTGATATTCATGGACAGGATCTCAAGGTACAGCCAGCGGGAGGAAAAGGTCCAGTTTAGGGACCTCAGAGTTGCATCTTTGCTTTTAGAAGATGATGGCTCACAGATAGAGTGAGGAGCTCAGACATGTTGAAGGAGGTTGGAATAGTGTCTTTGCTTCTTTGCAACGAAAGAGGCCAGTTGAGGTGGTTCGGGCATCTGAGGAAGATGCTTTATGGGCGCCTCCCGTTAGAGGTTTTCCGGGCCCATCCAATTGGTAAGAGGCCCCGGGGCAGACCCAGAACACACTGGAGGGATTATATTTCTCATCTGGCCTGGGAACGCCTTGGGATCAGGGTTGGAAATAACTTGTTTTGTCCACCTGCCACTGTGGCTGATGGATTCCAAAATCTACCAGCCACTCAATAGATTACTATTATTTTTTATTTGGCTGGTGAGAACAGCAAATCAAGCAGCCACTTGCATATTTTACCAGCAACCCTGCTCTAGATCCCCCAGGAGGAACTGGTAAATGTTGCTGGGGGGAGGGGCATCTGGACCACCTTGCTAAGCCTGCTGCCCCCGCAACCTGGCAGTAAATAAATGGATGAGAATGGATAAACAGATTAAAGATAGAAACAACTTCTTAAATTCTGTCTGCAATTAGGGAAAAATGGGATGTTTAGTTTGAGGATGACACCAGAGGAGAGACCATGTCTATCCTTTTTGATTGGCTTTTAAATGGCTTTGTAAATATAAACTGGTCAAAAGAATCAACTCAAGTAATAAAAATATGGAAAAAAGAGTTTTAACTGGTTGATCACGTATCAACTTTATTTAAATACTTTAACAACCTCACCTACAGTGTACAGTTAGAAAACTCCACTCCTCCAAAGACAGGATACTGGTCAAATGTACAGAGCAAGAAAAAAATCTTACAAAACAACAAAGCCATAAGGAAAGAACAAATCAACAATAACTTTCACGCTTGCTATGGCTGACACTCGGCCTCCTAACAGGCTTGTTCATGGCCTGACAGGAGGGAGCAATAGTGGATCTGTTTTTAGTTTGAATCTTTACACACAAAACCAAATAAAAAAATACCTCTTTCTCCTTTCACTGTATTACAGGCTGCCTATGTCCCACTGAGGTGTGCGGCAATCACATATTCCTGACATATAAAATTATTCTGTTCAAAAAATGTCGAGTGAGGAAGTATATTTACCCAAGTATAAAAAAAAATAAATTAAAATGATCAACATTTATACACAAGACAGTCAACGACAATCCTGACACCTTTTAGAAACTTTGAGAAGCTCCTTGACAGTGACCCCACGCTTAAAGATTAACAATGAAATCAGGCAAAACAGTAGCAACTGCTTATCCTCAACTGATTCAGATGCCACACTTGACTTCTGACTTCAACCGTTTATATTAAGGGGTAGAAAATCAAAAAAACAAAGTATGAAGGAAGATTCTGAAGAAAAGTTCTTAACACTCATCCAAACTGTCAATCTATCCCAAATGTACATTTCCACCAAGAAGTGTGCGCTTCTGTAACTGCAAGCCCGAGAGAGAAACACCATGTTCAGTCTGTGTGGTTTCTTCTTTTAACACAGGTCATGTTAAAATGTGACATTTAAACAATATGGTTCTCTTTATTCAGAGCTCAGACTGACAGCAGAGGGAGAACCTGCAAAGATCAATGCAAGATTCATGCATTAATTTAATTTTAGGTCCAAGTCTATTTTATGATTGTCACACTGTCAGCAACTTAGAAAGCCAACAGCTTAAATTGATGCTGTGAGGCTGCAAATTATTCTATTCCACTGACCACTCTCAGAAATCTGCAGTCCTGTCCATTCTTAACACAACACTTAATAAAAACAAAAAAGCTAAAGGCTAGATTGCAAAGTCTCAATCAGTCAATGAAAGTGTGCTCATCTTATTAATGTGAAAAAAAACTGAGGCTGATTATTTACAGGTTGAACCTTTGATTAAATCATCCTTTCAGCAGAGAAAAAAAACGCAAATTTGTTTAATCTACTTACTATGGCTGACCATCATCTAGCTAAAATCTGCCACTGGAGAGAGATGCGTTTGTCATCTGTTGACCAGCAAGGTCTCTTTTCCATCTCCTCGCTCTTAAAAGAAAACTTCACCCACAAAATGATAATTTGTAAAACAACTACTCACCACATGATGATTTGATTAAGTGAGAAAAGTTTGTTTTTCTCCATGCCTCCACAGTAAAAGGAGAAACCAAAAAACATTCTTCATCAATTGAAATAAATGGGCTACCTTCAACAACAGTAAAACTATACCAAAACATCTGTTTACAAACTCTCACACAACTCGTTCAGTATATTCCAAGTCTCATTTATACAGTTGTATGATCAGTGCTTCCCAAACACATGCAGTTTCGCTGTATGATTTAAAACACTTAACCCTATGAGTAACTCCCTACTCAGCCGTGCATGACTGTTTGTACTGACGTGTTTGAAATCATTATGCTTTAGCAAAACTGCATGTGCTTGTAAAATACTGAGCATACAACTGCATAAGTGAGACTTGAATTATACTGCATGGATTGTGTAAGAGTTTGTAAATGGATGTTCTGATATAGTCCTGTTGTTGTTACACGTGGTCCCTGTTTACTTCAATTCATCAATAACGGTCGCCTTTTTTAAAAAGTCTTTGTTTACCGTGGAGACAGAAGAAAAGAAGAAAAACATTTTCTTCATAAATTCAAGGTAACAGGCGGTGAGTCATTGATAAAGTGGTTATTTTGCAGGTGAAGTGTTCTTTTAAAGCTACAGAAGCTGCTTTTCATGAACTGTAGACTCTCAATTTTTACAGAAATAAGAAACAAAAATGTTCACATGACACATGAGCAACAGGACTGCTAAAGGGTAAAACTGAGCAAAAAGGAACAACAGTGGCGTAGTGGTTAGAGAGTACTGAAAGATCACATGTCACTTCCTGTACCAGCAAAGTTACCTTGATAGGGTAAGAGCTAAATACCTAAAATGACACAGTATTTGAACAGCTAGAGGCTACAGACATTAAAAACTTCAATACAGCCTTTAGAAGACAAACTGACAGTGCAAAGAAGTAGAAAAATAAATACTAAAAAAAAAGCAGAATATAGATTTAAGTTCAGGTATTTGCAGTCTGCAGCAAATGTGACACGGGGAGTCATCATTTTTGACAAAACTTAAAAGTTTGCACAGGGATTAAAGATGTGCAAAAGAAGTGACATCGAGGGTCATTAGTTTCTAAAAGGCCAAAGTGTTGCCTCAGTGCTGTTCATTTAGTCACAAAAACACCACAAATGAAAAATATTTAGTTTGGAAATAACTGAGATCTATCCCATCTTTTTTTTATCTGCTGCCAATTTTGATAGCCCCAAAAATACAGACAAGCGCATCACCCAGTTTGAAGGTGAGGAGAACATTTTGGAAATGAAGAGGAGGATGATGAAAAAAGATGTGAAAGCTAAAACGATCGTTCCATATAAATGTGTTTTTGCTGCTGTCTGAATAACTGTTTTCATTAAGCACTGAGATGAAGAGAATACATTTATTTATACATCAATAAGTTTGTTTAAAATAGAGATTTAGAGATTTAACTTTAAACCCTTCCCATAACCCCAGAGTCTTTAATAGAATCTGTATCTGCAACAACACTGTGATAAAGTGTGTGTTTGAGTGAGTGTGTGAAAATATGTCATGTGACGTAAGTTTGTTCACTGAAGTTTTGTCGTCTGAACCAGTCTCACAGGCAGTTGCCTCAGTGCACTTTTCATTCTCCTTTTCACTGATTTATTCAGTGTCCAAAAGATGTTTAAATAAACCATTGGCCAACCACATGATGGACTTTAGGGTTCAATGGTGGCGGGAGGGGGTGTCACTGGCAGAAGGGTGAGGCCGTGGGGTCAAAGCCTTTAAAAACGTCCTTCAGCGAGGCGTTGTCCTGCTCTGTGGTTGCCTGGTCAGACTGTACAGGGCTGTTGCCTCCAAAGGGGCTTCCCGTCCCACCGGTCTTGGCCACCTGCTTCACCACACCAAATAAAGAGGACACTGGGAGATTGTGGACACCTGTGGGCCCCTGATCCCCAGCAGCTCCAGGAGCACCCTGACCCCCAGCGGCGGCTGCAGCAGGCCCTCCCTGGGCCGTGGAGTTAGGCGAAGGTGCAGGCTTGGGCCGGGGCCTGTTATAGCTGTTGTATCGGTCGGTTCCTTGCTCTCCACTTTTCTCTGGCTCTGGTTGGTCCAGTGCAGATTTCCGAACAAAAAGGGGTTCCTTGGATTTAGGTTTACTCGCTGGGGGGTCACTGGGTTTGGACTCTGTGCTGGCTGAGTTGGGGGAGTTGTTAGTGCCACTGCTGGTACCAGGGCTGCCTGGTTTGTTAGTCCGGGGATCATACAGACTAATGCTGCTCAGCACACTGGTTCCCCCTGGTGCCCCGGCTCCCACACCACGGCCTGCCCCACCTGAGGAGAGCAACCTTGGGTCGTAGGGGGCAATGGTAGGGGGGGAGGAGCTAGATGTTGGTGCTGGAGAGGTAGAGGAGACAGGGGGAGGCACAGGGTCTGATGGTTGCTTCAGTGCTGACTTCTGAGGCTGGAGACGGGGGTCTGTGGGTCCTTTACGAGACACACGAGGGTCAACAGGCTTTTCTGCAGGTGGCGGAGGCATGGAGGGAGGTGGACCCAGCAGCGACATAGGGGCAATAGGTGGCGGTAAGACAGGTGGGGAAGGAGTCTGGGACGGGCTGGAATTGACAGTTTTCAGGATACGAGACAGCAGCTCAAAGTCAGGGAGGGAGGAGGTGGATGAGGAAGGAGCAGGAGGGTCCAAGGAGGGGGGAGGCTGAACAGGAGGAGGCTGTGAGTGAGAGAGCGACGTTTGGAGAGGCTGCTGAGTGCGGGACAGACGTGGGTCTATGGCGGAGACAGGAGGGATTCCTGGTGGGAGTGGAAGGAGGTCCTGCTTGGGGATAGGGAGCGGAAGGAGATCCTCAGGCGACCAGGTGATGGTTTTGGCAAAGGCCGGCATGTGGAGAACAATATCCTTCTTGATGTGGCTGAACTGCTGCAGCTGTGTTCGTGGGTCTCTCAGAGCCATACCCATGAGCGGGTCCAGGGGAACTGGCACCGGCTTGTCCCGTAAAACCCGCTCTGTTTCCTCCTCCTCTGCTGCCGGGGTTGTAAGCGGCGGGGGCTTGTAGACCAGAGGAGTCTCTTGTTTAGGAGCAGGAGGCAAATGGGAGGTGGATCCTGCTGAGACAGCAGCAGCTAGCCTGGCTAACCTGGGGTCTGCAGGCGGTCCAGAGGAGGATATAGTTGGTAAGGAGTGGGTGGAGTCCGTGATTTGGGCCAAATCTGTAGCACGTGCTAGGCGTGGGTCCCGTGCCAAGCGGGGGTCTGCTGGCCGAGCTGGAGCATTGGCGGGAGAGGCCTTCTGAAGGCGAGGATCGCTCGGGGGGCCATCAGATTTTTGAGGAACCTGGGTTTGCTGACGGAGTGTCTTTAAGATGGAGGTGACGCTACCACCACCATCCTCATCCTCACTGGAGTACCAGTTCCCTGAGTCACCTAAGAAAGAAGGACAGACATGTTTAGGTGTTAGCTCTAGAAGTCATAGTTTGTTAAGTGAAACAAAAACCCAATTTGATGTATTTTATACCAAATTGATTAAGCCTCTTTAAAGGCAACATATCTGAGGTTTCTGACGACTGCTGGGAAACTGGGAAAGGAGTCAGAGTAAAACTTTTAAATGGTATCACTTTTACATTGTGGAAACTTCTGATAGTCACAGCAGTGAAACATTTATTATGCTTTTTATTCTATTAACTGCCAAATATGCGCATTATTACTGTGAACTAGGCCACTGAATTACCAAAAGACAACAATGACCATCAAAATGGTATGAAAGTTGGCCTGTAACTACTGACACCAAGGCCAAATCCCATTTCTTATTTTTGCCCCTACCCCTTGTTTTTGCGAACCCTTTTGCCCCACGGAACAGAGTTACAAAGACTAGAGGTTAAAATCTTCCTCTACGCAATGGGAAAACCCTTCAAGACAATGATACATCATCAGTATCGTCATCTTCATTGATGCCGTTTACAGGAAGAGACATGACTATAAGAATAATCATATTATCAAAATGACATTTGCCATTTATCTGGAGAAAGAAAAGCATGGACCTTCGCGATTGGTTCACAAATAAAGCTTCACCATTTCAATCGATCAAACAAGCCATCATATAAAAAAGAACGCTGCTTCATTACCAGGCCACTATCGGTGCTCTGTAGGAAACCCTTTAGCAACCCGTGCTCCTACCTTGCCAGTCTGCACTGATATTAGAGGAGTAGTAACAAGTATAGCAACTCTGCTGCTGGACTTAAGTTAAATTTGTGCTTCATATGCCTTAAAAGGGGGTAATGCCACATAGACATATATGTCAAAACGTGTCTGTCATGCACAAATCAGCAATGACAATGTAATGTTAGCTAGCTATCTAGTTAACTATGGAGACATAGACACACTAACAATTTCTTTTATAATGGTTGTTATACAGAAAAGGACCATAATACATTGAAATGACATAAAACTAAGTTAAACGATGGTCGTAATTTCTAAACCTCTACTAACAAAGTAAATACAGTGGGTTTACTATTATACAGCCATCTTGCCGATAATTTTTCATCACATTTGGTTTAGCATGTGCCTCTGAAAAACCCCTGTTTGGAGGGCCGTGTAGCCCTAACACTTCGCCCTACCCCTCTATCCAAACAATAATCGTGACACCGTACCCCTTAACCACCCGTAACCCTTGAGGGGCAAGTAGTGTATTGGGATTGAGCCTGATTGTGTCAACACAGGTCAAGAGTATTTTTCTATTTTTAGACAACCTTTCTTGAAGGCTCTCTCTAAATGTACAGTGTTTTAGCCATGAAGGGTTATGGGCTATGAAGAAGGACATTTTCAAGTGAAATGACAAAAAGATTATGCAAAGGACGACTACAACTCAGTATTATAAAGGAATTATTGATTTATACACAAACAGGTGCAGATGTTTTCTCCTCTACCTTCTGTGTCTCTGCTCTTCTCTGCTCCTCCCTCGGCCATCCTACGAGCTCTCTCCTCTTCTTCTTGCTGCTTCTGTTGGATCCTCATGAACAGGACGCGCTGCGCTGGAGGGAGGAAGTCAGGCACAGACATCCCTCCCTGATTGACTGATGCTCCATTAGCAGAGCCTTCTTGGCCACCTGACTGATTCCCAACATTCCCTCCTCTCTCATCCATGCCAGCAAAACCCTGGTAGTTGTCACCTGAGATGGAAAACCAAGTGTTAACAAAAAAAAACCTTGCAACTGTCAACCTAAAGAATTCTGTGTATCAATCAACTCACTGATCCAAATCTAAGTTGGTACTTATTCTTTCAGTCTTAAATCATTCAGGTTGATTATTGACAGTCACTCTCACCTTCTTGCACCACTCCCTCCATCTGCATACCATCCTGCTGATTGAAGAAGTTGTTGAAGAAGTTTCCTCCACCTGGAGGCGGACCTGGAGGCATAGCACTTCCATGTGGAGGACCGTCACCAGATACAAATCCTCCCATCATGGGCGGTCCACCTGGACCCATGTTGGGGTTCATCCCAAGGTTGGGGCCCATGTTCTGCATGTCAGGGGGCATCATGCCTGGGGGAGCAGGGAAGCACGGAGGAGGGGCACCAGGGGCCCCTTGGGTTCCAGGTGCTGCAGGCTGACCCTGGGTGCTGCTGGGAGTTTGGCCCCTGATGGAGGAGGAAGAGTAGGAGTTAGGATTAACAGACTGGATATCAAAGAGACATTCAGGGAGAAAGGAGGAAGAGTTTCTCTTTTATTCTTTAAGTTTGTTTTCTGATTTCTTACCTAACAGCCAGTTTCTGAGCCAGCTGTCCCGTTGGCTGAACTTTAATCTCAAACAATGAGGGGATCTTCTTCCCTGCGCCACCTCCCCCTCCACCACAAGGAGGTGGAGGGCCCATGTGGGGAGGAGGTATACTGGGATTTGGGGGCCCACCTTGGAAGGGACTTCCATCAGGGCCATGGACAGGGGGAACAGCACAGGGGTTAGGCCCAGGAATAGGCCCTGGTCCTGGGGGACCTTTGCTAACAATGGGTCCCTGGTTAGGTCCAGGAAGACCCCCAAAATCACTTGTCACTGGCCCTGTGAAATCCCCAGGCCCTGTGTTGGTGTCTACAGGAACAGGCCGAGGGGGGGTAGGGAGAAGGCCAACTCCAGGAGGAGGTTTAGGGAGAGGGTTGATCCCCTGCTTCTTCAGCTCCTCCACCTCCTTCTCATCCTCAGCTCCAGCCTCTGCATCCTCTGCCAGCATCTAGAAAACATCAACCAATGACTTAATATCTGAAATATTTTCTCAAGGCATTTACTAAATCAAAATAGTTTCTGTTAGTAAACAATTTCCCTCAGCAAGTTGTATAATTTAAAAAAAATTACCTTATTTCTTTTAAAATTTTTAGAGAACCTAAACATAAGTCCAAAACTCATAGAAAACATTTTTCAGACCTTTGAAAGACAGAGTTACAGAGTTAACAGCTAGAGCTAAACAGGTAGCTGAGAGAATGGGATCAGTGTTAGAGGACCTTACCTTATTGAGCAGGTCCTGGGTGTCATCACTGAGGGCATCATGGGAGAACATGCATTCGTCGCCATTGACACAGTTCCCTGTGGTGTGAAACAGCTTACAGGGAAATTCACGTAACATTTGAGTCAAGGAAGAACACTCATAGAAAAAAAAAAACAAACAGAAAATTGAGAGTGACTCCAAATTAGTGCAAACCTATCACATTTTCAGTCTCCTGGAATTTGGCTGATGAAACTGTACAAATAGAGAGTCTCTCAGTGTGGTCAGTAGTGAAGGATATCATGCATGTAGGGACAGTGGTCGGCTCGGGCACAAAATCCAGTAATATAGAATTTGCACAGCTCCTTCTTCTTGGGCAGCTCAATGTCATGGCTGAAGTTGCAGTGCTCCCCCTGGTGAGTGGAAAGGGTCATAATGAAACCTGTGTCTCAAGACTGACATGTTTGTGAGAACTGCCTTTAGATAACTTATAGACCAGAAAGAATAAAACAATCAACAAAATGTCAACTATTTTACTTCATGCTTCATTATAGTGTTTTGTTGCTCTCATTAAATGTAGAATGTTGCCTCCAGGTGTTTTATCAGCGTTGTGATCAGCCTACTTGTTACAGTTCACTGGTGCCATGTTTCCAAAGCATTTGAGTTTAACCATGTATTAGACCACTGGTTCCCTACATTTTTCCTTTAAGGACCCGTTTTCTACCACTGGGTAAACTGAAAACCCTTAGGTGTCATATTTTATGGATATTCCATATAATATTTAATGCATAGCAGTAACAGTACAGAGCAACTGGAAAATGTAAAATTAACAAACAATTTAATTTAGTTTTCTTCAAAATGCTGAGATACAGGTCTATTGTATATTTTTTTTAAAGCTTCCTCACACCCCTTAAAATCAAGAAGGCCTTGGACTTGCCCCCCAAGTTGGGATCCAGTGCATTAGACCATGGTGGGTCCTGGAGCCATTTGTAGCTGTTTTGATATGCTGACTAAAACTGGGTTGCAAACAACGTTAAAACTAAGCCTTTTTTTAAGAATCTGTATTTGCATTTGAGTTATCACAAAAAATATAAAAAAATTTACGTGTCCAAACTTTAAAGAACAGAATTTTTAACTTGCCCAAAAGATTTTTGTGACCTAACTAACTAAACATTTTCTAAATTGACCATCAATTTCTTTTGAGCATGGGCACTTTAGAAAAGCAACTGAAATGAATAAAGAACATGAACAGAAAGTTATTTCAATGAAGACAGACAATTGAAAAGCAGCCAGAAAACTTAAAGAAAAAAAAAAAGTGTCAAAATCACAAAATTTCCTGTTATACAGTCCAAACTGTATCGGCAAACATTTGTGCAATCTCACCCAGGTGCATCTCCCCTCGATGTAGTACTTGCAGATGGCCTTTCCTTTTTTATCCTGGTGCTTCTCATTCTGATTTCTTCTCCCTGGTCCTGGTCCATCGCCTCCTACACCTCCATCCTAAAATACATAGACACAAAAAGACACAAACACACAAAGAGAAAGATTCAGATCATTTAATTCCTCAAATCTAATAACTACTATAAAAGAATTTGTGCTGGGGACACCGGGGCTCTAGACTGAGGTGAAGCGGCAATTTGCATTAACATGCTTTGAATTATTAGCTTTGATTTCAATTACAATATCAGGACACTAAGGGCTAGTCTGATAGCAGAATTACAAAAGCCTTACCCCATTGTCCATGTCCCCGTTGTTGTCCTCATCATTGCCCATGTCGCCTCGTCCTCTCCCTCGGTTTCGACCCCTTCCTCCTCTGATCATACCCCGCCCTCCTTTTCCCCTCATTCTCCCGCGGCCACCTCTACCTCCTGGTTTAGAAATTGAGGACAGAGTGAGAGTAAATTTCTGGGCAACATAGATATTTAACACTGTCAGGCACAGAGTAAGCCTGTGTTTGCTCTAAAGGGAGGTGAACTGAATGAACATTTTCTTCAACACACACACACACACACACACACACACACACACACAACCTGAGGTGTAAACTCACCTCTGCCTCTGTCTTTAGACTTCTTGTACTGATTGAGTTCTTTTGAGTAGTCATCGTAGTCATCATCCCCCATGTTGTCATAGTCATCATCTCCATACTGTAAATACAGATTAAAAATGTGTCACTTAATGGGCGTCCGTCACTTAAGGCTTTAAAGAACAGAACTTCAATGTCAGCTAACAAAAAGTAATGGATCTTATTTTCCTGAATTATATATTATGTGTAAAAAGGTAAATGTGTGTTAAGCAAGACTCAAGTTTCTGGGACATTATGACCACAGAGTGAAGATGGTAAAAGGTAATAGGGCTGCATAATATTGGAAGAAACTGACACTACGATTTTTTTTCTGTGATATTTAGTATGAAGTCGTCAAGAAGGCGTGAGATTAAAAAAACTTGTAATATTAGTTAAGACTATTTTTTTATCTATCAAGTTCTTTGGCAGAAACAGTTCGTAACTGTTTGTGGTATGGTTAATAAGCCGACAGTAAATATCATTTACTCTTTGAACATCAGATTGTGTTGTTATTGTGCTAACTGGCTAACTAGCATCTTAAATCTGTCCTGTCGGTCCACTGGTTTTCTTTTTTGAATGTTGAATACAGACTACTGCCACCTGCTGGTATGGGGAGTTTTTTTTCTTTTCATGCAGGTGCAGAATGTCCATGCTGGTTGGCTGTTGGCTGTACTCAGTGCAATTTTTGGCTGATACACACAACATGAGACAACGTAACAGTCAGTTTTCATCGCCACAAGTTCTTTGATGTCGGTTTGGTGCAAGCCTTTACAGTCCTGCAACTCTCGCGAAAAATGGTAAGGAGAAATCGAGATAACATTGCATTAAACAGATGCTATATTCCCTCTGTGCAGCAAACACAAAACATGGACCTTTTCACAGTAGTTATGCTGGAACCTGAGCTATTGTAAACACTTTCTGCTGACTACTATAGCTTCGGAAAAGCATGGGCTCCATTGTGTCTGCGGCATTCGCATGGTTACAGTACTTTTCTTCGGAGACACAAGCAGAAGAGTCACTTCCTGTAACAAAGGTCGGCAGACTTTGTCATGTAAAGCAGAGGGCTTAGTGGAAAAAGAGAACCGTGTGAGTTTTCCTTTTGTATAAAGCAGCATGAAATGATGCATTTGAGTTACTTGACATTGCACATCCTGTAATGAGACAATTGCGCACGTGCACAGCGCAATGCCGATGCCAAAAAGTAATACTTTGGTTTGGTTTGGGAGATGAGAACACAGCAATAGTACTAGGTGGTGACAGGATCTTTAACTTTTTTTATCAGGATAAGTCTAATAGATATTCAGTGTATTATTCCATCACTCTTCCCAAAACTGACAACAGGCTTGATTTCTACAATCACTGCAGACGTTCCATGTTTGTCTAACACAGAATTAACTACTTTCTCACAAAAAATGAAGGAAACTGAAGGGTCCAAGTGTTTTTTGTTAGGGTTGGAATGTTTCTATATGAAATATATGTAAACAGCTGTGCCGACTGTGACCAAAGCAAACACACAATAGGTGTCATTCTGAATACAAAACCTCACCTCCATTTCTTCTCCATAGCCGTCTCCATCGTCATTGTCTCCTCCCATCTTTCCTCCTCCACCTCGACCTCCTCTTCCTCTGCTTCCTCCTCTTCCTCTCCTCCCTCCCCTCATTCCTCCACGGCCTCTCTGGTTTTTCATGCGACCTTTGCCCCCTGCACAGTAAAAGAGACAAATGAAACAACAGTAAGCTACAGAGGCAGTAACTTATCTGTGGAATTTGAATTGATAAGAAACTTTAGGCAAATAAGTTCCTTTCTGTGTCGACAAATGTGCAAATGAAACTGAATACTGAGTTAACAGCAAGCCAATGGTGAATCTGCTCTGTTTTTGTCACACACTGGGACATTTCCATAAGGTCAGTTAAAATTTGTAATTCAATGCTAAAATAAATTTTTTCACATTTTCATATATGTAGTTTTGGTAAAGACAAAGGACCTTTCTTCAACATCTGGCCTTAGATACGATCTGCAATCTGGTGTATCCCAGTTTGGATACTTCATCCACTGTCTCCAGACTTAGTGAGAAATGGATTAAATTTCAGCTGGGCAAGTATTAAGCATGCAATACAACAAGTCTATTTTTTGTCTTCAACAGCTTTGACCCGTCTACGACAGGCTCACCTCGTCCACCGCGGCTGCCTCCTCCCTCCTTGGCCTTGCGGTACTGGTTGAGCTCCTTGGTGAAGTCATCATAGTCTTCATCTCCCATGTCCTCCTCTTCTTCTCCCTCAAAGTTGTCATCTTCAAAGTCATCGTAGCCACCATAGCTCTGCTTGTCCATCTTCATGTAGCCGCCCTTCTTTGAGCTGCCGTAACCCCCATGAGACTAGAGACGATTAAAAAAATTAGGTGATTTTACTTTACAAAAAAGGTAAAAACGGTGATATTTCATCTAAGGACAGCTTAAAGGTTGGAGGTGATTTATCTTTCCAAAGAAGAAGTTTGCATTTCTTTGCAAAATATTTTAAAGTAATTAATAATTTTTTTTTATCTAATTGAAAATGAGGCATATCATTTAATAAGTAGAGACATTGGTTTAAATCAATTTAGTGAAGGAATGAATCCTATTCTAGATATCTGTCAGCAGATCTCATTCCCAAAACAGATGCATTGAGGTTCCATGTTAAGTTTTGCATCTAGGACTGTTTGGTGAGTTATCTTTGGAAATTGCAATTAACCTTGTCAAAAATCCTTTTCCATATCTAAAGACAGAGGCAGGTTTTCAAATAATTTATTGTACTTATAAGTCTCTACACATTGTCAGCAGCATATCTGCCTTTTAAAGAAACCTGTTTAGTCTGGGTTAATCATTTTAGGCAATATAGATTCAAGTCTTTTTGTGATAATCTTGTAATTGTGGTCAAGGAGGGTTATGGGTCTTCATGAGACACAATTCATGGGGTCCTTGCCATTTTTGTGTAATACATTGATATTTGTAAGCTTCACTGTTTGAGGGTGTATTCTATTGTGATAAAAATGGTTAATCACTTGACATAAAAACAGGACGAAGATCAGTCCAGAATTTTTCATAAATTTCGGCCGAAAAATACATCTTGCCCTTGCCACCAAAATCTAATCAGTTCATCCTTGAGTCCAAGTGGACAACTGTGCCAAATTTGAGGAAATTCCCTCAAGGCATTCTTAAAATACTGTGTTCATGGAAATGGGACAACAGACAACCCGAAAAAATGATGCCTTGGGCCACAACTGTCGCCAGTGTGGAAACATAGAAATTGATCAGGATTATAACACAAGGTTGAGGGAGGTTAGATCTTTAGACTTACTGCAGGGGGGTACTGTGGACTGTACTCTCTGTACTTCCTCTTCTCACTGGGACTGTAGTCAGAGTCATCACTGAAGTCCGAGTGGTCATCATCAGAGGATGCATGACGCTGAGAGAGCGAAACATTGAGATATTCAAACAGAAGGTGGCAGACATAAATAGATGATAATATTTTTGATGAATACAGAAGTGTGCAAATAACTGGGTGGGACTGTTGCAGTTTTATAGTTGTCTCACTTTGTGTTTAGATTTGCGTTTTTTCTTGGACCTCCTCTTCTCCCTCTCCCGCTCCCTCTCTTTCTTCCTCTTCCTCTTGCGTCGGTGGGATCTCTCATCATCTGAGTCGCTGCTGGCGTGGCGCTCCCTACTTCGCCGAGGCCTCTCCCCGGCCACTTCCCCTCCTGCCTCACCTCCTCTGCCCGCTTCATCACCGCCATCTCCACCACCTCCACCACCTGCTGCAGATGTACCTCCACCAATCTCCTCTTCCTCCACATCCCCCCCATCATCTTCCAGCTCGCCCTCCTCCAGCTCTCCATCCTCTGGCCTGTATGTGTAAAGAACACACATCAAGGAAGTTACATATCTAACTTTGTCATGGACTGTGGCTCAGTCTTCCAGCCACATCTTAAATTTTGGGATATGAATTAAAAAAATGATAAATATATTATAAAATCACGGGTGAAAAAAAGGAAAAACACAAGACCAAACATTTAATGGTTTGTTTCAAAGGTAGTGGATGAAACGAGCGCAGAGGTTGGTTCAGGTTGACATTGGGTCTATAGTTAAAGGATTCACAACTTACCCAGCACCCCTGCATTATTTCTACTTTTGTAAAATCAAATTGGACCCTGAGGCATAATTTGGGCTATATATTAAACTTCTCACAACAAGATCTGTGTAATATCTTGATTAACTGTGTCATGATTTCTAGAAGGAGACATTGCTGTTGAGATTTTCAAATGTATTACTTTGGCACTTGAAGCACCACAAGCCGAGTGACATCAAGTTCCATTATACTGAAGAGAAGGCAGACATCTCTACGGCTGATATCTCCAACAATCAGCAAGTTCCACCAAAACAATCTAGACTGATAAATAGCAAGTAACAGGAAAAATATGTACTTTTGATTTTTGGGTGGAAACTCCCTTGAAGGGCAATCTGTGGAGGATTTCATCTACTAAACAGCACTACAGGGCTGTGTATTTTGTATCTAAAGAGAAGACCTGACACACACTGTGACCTGCAATTGGTAATTTATGTCAGGGGGGCATATTATCCAAGACTGTGTTTTTTTTTTAGCAACTATGACTCTGAAAGGTGTATTTAGACAACAGCTCTAGTTCTCACAGATGTTTGCCTTTTTAAACTGCTAGTAAAACATTTTGCCACAAAAAACACTGTCACATATGAACCCAGTTCGAAATGTATTCATAAAAATACCTAGAGAATGAGGGACTCACCTAAAACTGACCGCTCAATACATAAACCAGATGAAGACTGTACCACTTTCTGCATATACTGAATGTACAGTATATTATAGTACAAACTGTGCACAGACATCCAGTCCAACATAAGGAACAATAACAGAAAATGCACTGGATTATGATTATAATAGATACCAATAGTTTGACCTACTGTGCACACCTGATTATCAATGTCATCAGCCAAACAAGCTGCCACGCGATAATAAGTCAATGTGAGGTTAACTGCACAAAAAGATTCACACATGCCACTGCCTCGTGTGCATTAAATGCATAGAAAATGACAAACTTCAAAACAAAATTCTTCTTTGTACAGCTTGCAAGCACAGTCAAAAACAGCTTGACACCTTTCTAACTGAATTAAACCACATCATATGAAAGACATGGATTTAAAAATATTTGCGGCACAAGCCATTACATCAGGTCTTACGAGTCATATGTAATTTCATGTTTAAATACTGTGAACAGTGAATCATCATGCAAAAGGTCAAACCCCACCACAATGTCAAGGCTGAGGGGACTACTATAATAATTAAGCAACAGACAAAGAATTACTAACGTGCTGTTACTGTGGTCAACTGCCTGTGCAGGACCCTCACATGAGGCAATGTGAGCAAAACCATGAGATCCTAATTGACATGGATCACATGCAGGCCTGTTCCTGCAGCGACTGGTGGCTGTGGGTGAGTTAGGGGGGAAGAGAGGGCGTTGTTTTAGCAAGCTCAACAGAAATGAATGATGCAGGTAACATATCCAGTTTGGGAAAATCTTTTAAGTAGCAATACTTATGCAAAACATAAATATTAGCATGCACTGTGTTTTCTCTCCCTACCAGCCACCATCTTCTAAAAAAGGGGGCCAGCTATCTAAACATTACCACACTTATTTTTAACATTGTCAGACTGGTCATAGCTTTGTCTGCCATTTTCACTAGCAAAGATGTAATATGAAATATGGCACAGGTTAGATTGCGATTAAATTTAAAACAACGAAGAGACAAAGTTTTTACACTCTCTATTTGAAAAATTAGGCCCTGGCTATCACACAAAAGCCCACACCCAGAGCAGGCTGACAAGTGCTGTCTGCAGCAGGCTGTGAGTAAGGCCTGAGGCCTGAGGCCTGAGTGATGTGAACAGGATTCACTGATATTAATACTGCTTGGTTCTGTTCTACAAGGAGCTCACAGTGAGCTAAGACACAGCAGGTGGTATAGTTGACCTGCTTTGAGGCAAAATGTCAGCTACACTGTATGTGTACACTGCACCCCATCCTCAGCATGCCAGCTGTCTGAGGAGAGCACAAAAAACAGTCTTAATAATCTGGGCTTCAGCTCTTCGTCACCAACAAAATGTTCATCTGCCGAGCAACACAGCCATGACTATACAGACTTACAGAAACTTGTCTCCAGCTACTCATTACTTAATATCCTTGGACAAAATGAAAACAAATTCTAAGTAAACAAGACAATCATCATATCGGAACACTGTAGGAATGTCCTCATAGAGGTTGCTAATTTAAGACAATCTATTATGAGTTGGAGACTAAAAGTACTGTGGTCCTGCTCCGAGAGGTAAGTCTACTATGCTATCTAGTTAACTCTGACCCAAAAACATCTTCCTCTAGATCTGAAGGAGTGGCAGGTTAAAGGCAGCAAAGTTATCCAAATAATTTGGTAAACCTGTTTTTTTTAGAGCAGGTATACCTAAGAGTTGCTTCACACAAAGCATCTTGTTATCTGCTGTTTGTAATACAACACAATCTATGGCAACAAAATCTGTCTTTTCATTTAGGCATATTTGATTTTGCTCTGGAACAAAACCCAAAATGAAACCCAAAACTCGCTAGGCTCTCCCTGAAAATAGTTTTCCAGCTACTTTTACCATATTTCATCTGTCTTTTAATACAAAATTACTCCACAAATATGAATATATACAGATTTCAGTCAATACTGGGTCAATACAAAAGCTGTGTCACATTGTGCATTTTTCCTCCAAATAATTAAGAGGTCCAGTGTGTAGGATTTTGGAGGATATATTGGCAGAAATGTAACATTCTGTTTCCTTTAATGTATAATCCCCTTAAAATAAGAATCCTTGCGTTTTTGTTACGTTAGAATGAGCCATTTATATCTGCATAGCAAACAGATCCTCGTCTACAGAGTTTGCCATATTGCACCATCAGGTTTCTACAGTAGCCTAGAATGGACAAATCAAACACTGGCTCTTGCTAGGGCTGTTTACATTTTCCCACGAGCCACCGTAGTATACAGCAACAGATTTTTCTTTTTAAACATGTAAGTGCTTTATTTAGCGTTGCTACCAGTTTCAAACACAAAATTTATTTGCCTTGGAGAGGAAGAGACCTCTGCTGATAATTCGGCTCCTCCTGAACATCAAAATCTTAAGTAATCAGAGAATAAAGGTGAACACACATTAGCAGGTGCTGGACAAGCCCTATGTCTGCGACAAGCCAATAACCGTCAGAGAAACACTTATTTGTTTAATGAAACTACTTTATCCAGTGTTTTACTGGTTTTAATCACTGGGTCTATTTGTTTTGGAGAGAAAGAGACCTCTGCAGATAATTCGGCTCATGGTGAAAATCTCCTGAACAATGAACACTAAAGGAATTCTTACTGGGAGAAGTTTCAGCGGGTTACATTCTGCAATCCTCAGCGCTAGATGTCACTAAATCCCCCTAAATCTTACACACTGCTCCTTTCACTCAAACAAATAAATTCAAGTATAATTTTGAATCTTCAAACCGTTTGTACGCATCTACGGCCTCAAACATTTTTCTAAACTCAAAGGTTTTTCTTGTCTTACATCAGCTACCAGCTTTGAATCTAATCACCACAAACTCAGGAGCATCATCTAAACAGCAAAGTCACTTCTCTACCTCATTACTGGCACGTGCTATGAAGTTGGCTTGTTAACCGAAACCTGTCAGAGTCAGGAACACAGACCCATCACAAGGAAAACTCCTCTGACACAAGGGGGGGGGTTTCTCTATAATAGCACAGGGATTTCGCTGTATTATGGAAACAGGTTTTTATGAATGGGGAGTGGCTGGGATTTACCACAGGCCCAAGCCGATGGCCTCTCTGGCCTGTCCAGATACTCAACACACATCACCTGCTGCCAACAATGTTCCAGTTCGAGGAAAAACTTAAAATGCAAACAAACACCATCCAGACTTCTCTATGCCCGCCAAGAAATTAACAGGTCAGTGTAAATGTGTTAGTTAATATAAGTCTACCAACAAAAACTAAACAGACCTGCAAGAGGAAAATCTGTTATCTATTTATTGATTTAACCCCACACAACTATCAATGTACAGCCGAGTGTAATTTAATCCAGGTCTGTGAAGTATGTCATCCATGTAAATTATGCCAAACAAGTTTCCATTTATATCCATTCACACTACACCAAACTGATGGCAACATCTCTGAACATGCCCTACTAGCAAACAACTGTGAGAAGTTCTGAAAGTTCAACAGAGCACATGATTAATCTTGTCTATCAAGGATGATTGAATTAAAGGATTTACCATGCATTATGGTACATTATTAGCTCACTGAATGAGTCCATAACTTAACTAATTATGTAAGCAAAGGGCCATAATTAAAATGGGGAATACTTACTGTGTCAGGGTTTCTTCACATTTTGCACTCAAAATCATTGAAAAAGGTTTTTCCCTAATCTTTTAGGGACACTAGTGGGATCTGTGGGACTTGGAAATAAAATGGGGCCAGCTGAGAAACACAAAGCACATTTGCCAACTGGGGACTGTGGAAAAAGTGAAGTTTGTGTTTGACTTGAAACACTTCTGGGATGCTTTGCAGACGTTTTACACATTGTTTTGGGGACTTTTGTGGATGTCTGGGACGAGTCAGTGTGGGCACGACTGTGAATAAAAGTGATATGTTAAGACAAGTATCTATGACACAGGGCAGCACAAACGCGTTTAGGAGCTATCGTTAACAACAAAACTGATAACATGAGTCGATAACGTTACCTTTCAAAATCAATATTTTGAGAATAGCCAACTTTTAAAACTTGATGGGAATAAATCCCAATCATCCAAGGGTGATCTGGAGTTGAAATAAGCTTTCTTATGAGAATTATTTAGGTAAAAAGAGGACGACTCGAGTAGTACTTTAAGTGCGTAACAGTTAGAGCTAAATGAGCGACAAGTTGCTTTCAATTTGCAACACGTTTACGCCGACTGAACGAATACATGTGAACGAATTATTAAATAGTTAAATAGCCCATACTGATCGATTAACAATGATCATGCTGGTCCGACAATATTGTCTAACGCTGAATTTAATTTAAAGATGTAACCATTTCAAACGTCAATGTGAATTTACCATTAGCAAAAACATTAGCCATTAGCTTACCCGCGCGCTCATGCCAATTGTATTCGTTGGTAACATTAGCCTACAAGCTAATGTTGCTAAGTTAGCCCGACGAAAACAGGCCCATCGTTAGCAGAAGACAGTCGTTTGGATTATTTATTGCACCTGCGGCATTAGTTATTGTCACTACACAGCCAATTATTTGAATTAACGTCGCGTTAAATTAGTTCAGTACAATGGGTAAGGAGTTAACCGTTGTTTGTTTTTTACTCGTTGCATTGGCTACAATGGCGGTGAATTATGATTAATCAGCTGTTTCGACCTCGTCTTTTTTTCTTCAGACAAGTTGGCTTGAGTCGATTGATCGTTGATTGTGGTAACGTTAATAAAACACGGGAATTAAGGTTATCCCAGGTGCTATTTGGCCTCCCAGTTGGCGGTGTCGTGTCAACATGGCGTTCTTTACCTCTGCACTCGTTTTCCAGAAAAGGCGAGTTTAATCCCTCTGACAGAAAAAGAAAAAGAAACCCCGGGCTTTTTGTGTAAAAGCACAGGACAAATAAAATAATTTCATTTAAATATGATTGTAGAATTACTCGACCTTTCGTCAGTCAGGAGACTGTTGTGTTCGTGGTTGGTAGTTGGGGAGTTTGGATGGACAGTCATGCTTTCCACAGCCATTTCCTCTAGCTACATTGAGGTGCAAAAAAATTAGAACTCGACACTGGAAACTACTGGCTTATGCGTCACTTCACTAGGATCTACTTGATTTTGATTTTAGGAAGAGTTTCAGTTCATAGTAGGCAATTCTCCACTACAGTTGTAAGAGAAATATGATGAAATTGAGTCCTGACGCTCTCCGTCCTACAGTAGCGATGTGAAATGACGACTGATAAACTTAAAATGGCCGACCGTCTCCTCCTAAGAGAAAGGGGGTGGTTTCTCCGAGGATGACATCACGACAAATGACGTTCTTGTACGCTTCTCACGGAAATTACCGAATGGGGATGAAAGGGTAAAATGAGCCCCCGAGTTTGACTCGCAAGTGCACTTGCAGCGCAAATAGTGATTACAGAATATTTAAACTACTACAGTTTACTTTATGTTACTCAAGCGAAAGTACAGAAATATAATTAGATAAATGTACTTAAACTTTTAAAAGTTAAGGTTCTCAGTGTCAACAAAAGGTCCCCTGTGACTCTACTATTATATGTCATTAAGTTATCGTTACTAGTGCATTAATGGGCGGGTCCATCTCATGAATGTGTAAAAAGGACCCGTAATAAAATTTCCAAAACCATTCACAACCTATAACAGGAACAGAACAGTTAGTGTTGGGGAAGCTACTAAAGTATAAATCTGCAAGCTACCAATTACTTCGTATTGGAATAAGTTGGGATACATCTAGTTTGGTTTACTAAAGCTATTCAGAAAAAATATTTAAAAACAATTTGGTTAAAAATATATCGAATTCACAATGCTTATGTGATACTAAATTATATCAAAACAATAGCCTACAAAAAAAGTCACATGTCAAAAAACATGCCACTCTATTGTAATTATTGCAGAAACTGCCCACTTGTTCACAGGTCATATAGCCTATATAAACCAAAAAATAAAATACCCCAAGTATTCATGGGAAAGTGCAAGGAATGTGAGCTTTGGTTCTGTATATGATGTGCATTAGTCAGACGCCTGCCTTTCAGAAACCAAGTGCAGGTCTCTGAACAGTTGTTAATAAATATCAGTTATCACCAATTGACATCTAATGTTTTCAAGTTTAGTTTTACAAATTCTGCCTGCTGAATACATTTTTTGGGCATCCCATCACAGTGTTCTGAATGAAAGGAAATTAGGGTGGGGCTTTCAAAGGGGGTTCAATTACAATAGAGAATCAATGGTAAAATAAGAATTACAAATTCAATTCAACTTTCAATTTTATTTATAAAGCCCAGTATCACAAATCACAATTTGCCTCAGAGGGCTTTAGAGCATACAACTTCTCTCTGTCCTTTTGACCCTCACAGCTGATAAGGAAAAACTCCCCCCAAAAAAACCTTTAATGGGGGGAAAAAAATGGTAGAAACAAAAATCATTCCTTTCTTTTACGGCCTAAAATTGTTTGTAGTTTCAGCAGTTAACAAAAAAAAAAGGCAAATAAATAAATAATTTAACTACTTTAATCACCATACAGTTGAACAGGAAGAAAACACAATTGGATTTATATATAGGAATATGAAGAAATTGATTTTGGGGGGGAATATTATGTTAAATATTATTATATTGTTAAATAGGTGTGCAATTTGACCAGGGATGTGATCTAAATGGGTTTAAAAAAAGGCATTTTTCATTTCATCTCTACTTTAAACAGCGTGTCCATCTGTGGTCTTTTCAGTGTTTTTCAGATGGAAACTCCCACTTAGCCCTGCAGAAGATTATGTCATGTCACTGTTTTGGCAAGGCCCAGGTGCTTGCTTGTGCCTACGGAGTGCAGTCAGCAGGATGCTGATTTCAGGTCACTTAATAGCTGCCTGTGTCATTAATGACGAAGATTTTCTGAAAGTTAGATAGAACCTTCAAGTATATTTTCATGCTAATATTTTTTGTCTTATTACTTAAGGAAAACCTCTAATTCAGGACTTTAACATGTAGCAAAGTTTTTCTACACTGTGATATTGCTTCTTTTATTCAGGGACTTCTTCAACCACTGAGTGGCACTATATTTCTATACAAGACGACAGCAAAATATTTGTACTCAACCAGAGGTCTCATCTTAGAATTACTAAATGTATAAACAAATATAAACAACTCAGACTACTAAATTTGACTTTGAACTTTTTATCTTATTTTTTCTTTTTTTTCCATTCAGTGTGCACTGTATATTAACCATTGGATATGCATGAGAGACTTTCAAATAAATCAGGTCCTTGTTTTGGTATCATGCTAATGTAACACACACTTATCAAAGAGGATGTTGATGAAGGTGCTAAGTATTTTTATAACTGCAAATGCAAAAAACAAACAAAAAAAACATCAAATAAAAACAGTCTGAATAGATGAATACAAGCCTTGTAGCTGTCTGCTATCACTGTATTACATCACACTGGTGTAATTTGATGCTATGCAAGAATTACAGGACCAGTTACTGGCATTATAAAACCCATATTGCCATCCACTGGATAAAACAAACAAACAAAACAAACAAACAAAAAGCTTTGCTAGAGCTTCTTCAGTTGACAGTAGGTCAGTTTTAAAAGTGACACAAAGTTTAATAAAATATAAATAACACCCACAATAATAAATTCGGGCTTAAACACTCCTTAAACACAGAATATTATAATATCATATAATATCATATAATCATAACAAACCTAAGAACTACCTTGTGTGATGCAACTCATTCTAATTAAGTGGCATGTAAGTCTCCACTTTGTAAACACTACAACTGTTGAAACTGGCTCCTGATCATACATAGATAGATGTATAGATAGATAGATAGATAGATAGATAGATAGATAGATAGATACTTAATTAGAATTAATGGAAGTAAGGGGCTATATATAAAAATAAATAAATAAAATAAACCATATGAAAGAAATAGATTCACACATTTTGAAGTGGACTTCCATCCATCCATCTTCTAACTGCTTCATCCTCTTGAGGGTCGTGGGGGGGCTATCGCAGGGCTTGAAGTGGACTTTATATTGAGAAATACGAGGCATATGTAGACCCTGTTGCTGATGGCTTGAAAATGAAGATCAAGCACAAATACCCTGTGGATCACGCAGGTGGCCCCGTCAATACTGAGAGAATGGGACTTGATATCTTCCTGCAGCTCTAGCTGGCAGCAAAGAAGAGCCTTCTGCTCCTTTTCTGACTGAGCTACTTCCTCATGCAGTCTGAGAGTGCAGAGATAAAGAGACTTGTCCTAAATGGTTACATCACTAGAAAAAAATACATCAGCCAATATGAGAAGAACCATGATCGAAAACAGGAACACAGTTGTTTATTCAAGTCAGTCATGATATCTACACAATCCATCTAAATCAGACATGAACAAACATGGAAGGTACTATATGTGCATTTTGAGGTAATACTAATAAAGGCTCAGTGTGTAAGATATAGGGGGATATACTGGCAGAAATGGAATATAAAATAATAAATATGTTTTCTTTAGTGTATACTCCCCTGAAAATAAAAATCATTGTGTTTTCGTAACCTTAGAATGAGCTGTTTATATTTGCATAAGGAGTGGTTCCTCATCCATGGAGTCCAGCATGTCTCTACAGTAGCCTACAACGAACAAACCAAACACTTGCTCTGGATAGGGCCATCCATGTTTTTTGCATGGGCCGCCATAGATAGCAGTATGCAATGAGCTGAACAGTGTCAGAAAAACTTTTTTTTTTTTAAGGTGAAACTGCTTTATTCAGTGTTTTTATCAGTTTAAATCACTTGGTGCATTTGTTTTGGAGAGAAAGAGACCTCTGCGGATAATTCAGCTCCTTGTCAGACCTCCTGAACAATGATCAGAGAAGGGAATCATAACTGGGAGTTTGCCCCTGGCACCCGGGAGAAGTTTCAGCTGGTTGCAATCAGTAGTCCTCACAGCTAGATTCCACTAAATCTCACGAATCCAACACACTGCTCCTTTAAGTCTTCTTTTTCTACTGCTACTGTTTTGAAAACTTTCATTATTTTGTTGTACATGCTATCTTACACTCATTACATTTTTTGTCATGCTAAAATTATGCATTATCATAATGATTGTTGTATTTTTCCTAGATGTTTTGATTATAGCCTTTGTAAACTGGCAGGCAATATAGCTGTGTCTCTACTTTGGCACCATTAAACTTTCACTGTATCCCTTGTCTATTGCCTTGTCTTTCATACAAGTGTGTCCTGGCCTTACTTGTTAATGTCAGTGGTGAGCTGCTGGGCCTCGGCAAGGTGCAGAGGCTCTGCATGAATGTAGTTGGCATGCCTCTGTGGCAAAAAGCCACCTGAGCCTGGGCCAAGCATGTTCACTCTTTGCGAATGGCATCTTCCAGATGCTCTCTGATCCTCTGCTGGTTGTCAATCTCACATGGAATCTATCCATTATCCACAGATACTTACATGTTTTTGGTTTGAGGATTGTAGACATTCAAGTCATTACATCTTCCTCCCGCTGCAAAACTTTTTTTCCTTTCACATCACTCTCTCTCTGCCAGATATACTCCAAATACTCATCATCTCTACCTTCCTCTGGCAGACTTAGTCTTCTGGACATACAGCTGAAGGGCTGCTTCTGTGACCTGGAACTGCTTCCGCACATCAGCCGTCTGCTCCAGGAGAGACTCCACCAAAGGCCGCAGGGACAGAAAATTGTTGTTCTGCTGCACCTGGCTGCATATGTCTGTGATGTTCTCCTACTGTCTGACTTTGTGTCCATTTACATGCCTCTCTCTCCCTCAGCCAAATATACACCATACTCATATACCCTACCCTGGCCAGTTGAGCTTCCATCTCTCTTAGCAATCTCGATCTTCTGCACATTTAATTGCTCCAGAAAAGACCAGGGCCCATGAGACATTTAGCTGATTGGCTATATTCCTGTCTCAAGAGTAGACCAGGGCCCGTAGGCAGACAGCTGGAAGACAACTGTCCCACTTTCATCATGGCTATACATGTGTTTACAGTGTAATTCATGGAGGAACCCTTATGGATGTGAAAGTCAGATAGGGCAAGCTATCCACAGCTGGTCTGAAGCAATTTAACACCCACCATAATAGTTAAAACTATAAAGCAGCACAAAAATGTCATTTACGAAACCAGCATGTTCTGATCAGATTCATTACAAACACTAAGAGAACATGACATGTATCTTGGAATATAAATCA